TAATTATATTTTAGATTTTTTATATTCAAAATGAGATGTCTATCTAATATTTGATTATATTTACCTATAGTTAGTTACACAAATTCAAAAATAAAGTTTTAATGAGTTGTATTTACGCACAATTTACTTGTGATCCTGAATTTTAAGTAATATGTATAAACAAATAATACTTTATGCATTAAAAAATGGTTTTTAAGAGTTTTTATCAAATGATTTATGTGAACTTTGAGTTCCATAACATAATAGATCAAAAACAATTCTATTTAAATCAGTACAAATCATAAATCAATCAAATAATGGTCAATCAATACAGTCACCCATAAGGTTGAAAGTTACCTTGAAATAGAAGTAAACCTAAACCGACAAAGAACCAGACAAAGAAACCATAAAGAATCGATACGTAATGAGTCAAAAGAAACAAGCAAAAATCGATACAGACCATAAATCAATCAGAAGCAATAGTCGAAACCCATGAGGTTGAAACTTACCTTGAAAGAGAAGCAACCGAGCTTTAGGGAAGAGAAGTTGACAGTGATTATAAAAAATATTGAGTCAAAACCACCCATTAAATATGAAATCGACAATGACTATCTACTCGTTGAAAAAAGAGATTATAGGGACGTTAGTTGGATTAGAGAAATTGTAGGGACGAATTAAGATTTCAATGGGAGTGGTATGCTTTAAAAACATGTACGCATGCATAATTAACTTGTATTTTTGATTTTTTAAGTAATGTGCACAAATTAGTTGTACCTTATGCATGATAATTTATTTTTAAGAGATTGAGCCAAATGCTTTATAATATAGAATATATATATATATATATATATATATATATATATATATTGCTGGATATTATGAATAATGGAAAGCCATCAACTTGTTAGAAGGGCCTACTCCAACTCCAACATTTGGGAGTTCCTTGACAAATTGAATGATGAAAATACCAATCAAATGATGAAGCTTTTTCTCTTTTATTTTCCATGTTTCATTCATTAAATAAATAAATAAAAAGATTTAAACCCAAATTCTAATTTAAAAACATAAATTAAATGAGTAATTTTTAATAAAATATTAAAAATAAGGATAGGAATATGAGGGTACAAAGACAAGAAACATGTGGTACGGGGGAAGAAAGTGGTCTACCACTTGGTCACCATCGCTGACGTCACCTTCTCATTCTATTATCATTATTCCTTTTTTATATCCTATTTTCTACCCCCTAACATTAAATCTTTCATTCATTTTCAAAATTTTAGTGTAACTAATAAATCTCTTTAACAACCAACACCAAATCTCTTTATCTTATTTAATGATTGTAGATGAATGATATCACACCAAATGTGAATGATTTTTCTACATAATTGATAGTAGTTTGAAGAAACTCGATTCATACAAATGAGAAATTATGTTTTATTCGGTTTTGAAGATCCTTATCAATTGGTGAAAGCACAATGAAGATTGTTGCAACAACCATGGTTGTGGAGGTAGAAGCATTGGTAGTTGTGAACTATGTGGTGGAGGTAGGTGTGATGGTGGGCAGCGGTGGTGGTTATGGTGGAGGTGGTGGTGTCCGGCGATACTAGTGGTGGTGGAACAAGAAAAAGATTTCTTTGTCTCATCTTATCCCAGTTTTTTTCCATGTCTCTTGTCGCACCAAACGTGGGACAATGAGTTCTTGTCATGTCTCATGTCGCGCCAAACATGAGATAGTGAGTGTCGTCTCGTCCTGTTCTGTCTTGTCCCATGTACCAACGCAGTCTTAATATCTCTTATGTAATTGTTAGTTTTATTTGTATGCTCTCATTTTGATTTTACTTTGTTTGAACACAATCATTTAATTAGATTGTAAAATGATGTATCAAAGTTTCATCGTAAATATAAAAAAATAAAGTCATTATAGCTAATTAACATGTGGAACTTTTACAAAGGTTTTTCAATGAATGTTTTCTATCAATGAACAGGAAAGAGGCAAAGTTCAATGACTGCATTATCATGATTATGTTAATGTCTTCATGAATGTCATCCAATTCATCGTTAATAAGAGGATATTCATGAATGAATATATACTACGTAACATTCTTCACTAATATTAATTGTGAATAGAATTGTATTCATTGATGAATATCCATTGTCTATAACCTATGTAGTGTATTACATTCATTGATGAATATACAATATATGAAGTTATCATGTTTTAATTTCGTGTATATCCATTGATGAAAATATACTCTATGATTTTTCTCAATTTTATTTTGTTCATCAATGAACATAAAATGTACAAACACTTCATCACTATGTTATTCTGATATATTGTCTATCATTTTTGTCGGTTTATTTTTTCCGTTGACGAATACAAATTATACGAACACTATTTGTCTCCATTGCCGACATAATTGGTACATTTATTTGTAATTTTGGTAAGAACCTAACTCAACATAATCAGTCCAAAAAAAATGCTCGAACTCAAAAATCATAGATCAATGACGGACCGTCAGTCAAGTCCAGCCCACCCGACAAGCACGGTTCAATTGACCATCCCTATCATCCATAACCATTATGTTATGTCCCTTATAAACCAACCACCGTAACATCAACTATAACTTGACGCTTTCCCATAAAAAGACATAACGCCATCACTTTACGTATTGTGTATGTTCGGTTTCTGTATTCAATCATATTAATAACTGTTTAATATCTCTAACCAAACGCCCTGTAAAACAAGTACCATATGACATGTTATGTTGTTGATTACAATATATGCAAGTCGAAGTGACATGTATAAATAAAATGAACAAAATGAATACAAACCTTGAAAACTTGTATGCTTTGTCCTTAGGACACAAAGAAAGCTACACATTAATAGAGGCTAAGCAAGAGGGCATTTCTCTAGCAACCTAAAGAATATGAACACCAAAATGATTTACAACACAATTGTGTGAAAATATGTGGAACCCCGATAGATAACTGTCCAAAAAGAGCTATTGAGCAGAAGGAAGGTTTCAACGTATATCGAGGAAAAATGTTCAAGTCATCTCTGGTGTTGGTTCATTTCTATTTCTGCATTTCTTGACTCCATTATAGCCCCAAACTTCTCTGCCTCTCCCGCAATTTGAACGTCACTCGGTTTGTAACGTTGCACCAATGTTTTCACAACAAACCGAGGAATGAGGGCAGCCACCACAATCCCGATCAAGCAAATCCAGAACATTCCGTCACCCGCAAGATGGAAGATTGCCCTGCAAACGTACATCGAAACGGTGAATTGGAGGTCATTAGTTTCGTTTGGTACTTTGTTTCTTGAGGGATGAAAAGTGTAGTAAGATTATGTTTGGCAAATTTAGTTGATAAACTAGTTGTTGATTGATAACTGATAAGTTAGCTGAAAAGCTAGTAGTTGTTGGCTAATAAGTTAGGTTTTAACTAAGCTAGCTGATAAACTTGTCATGTTTAATAAAAATCAGTTAATAAGCTAGATGACAATATAAAATGACCTAAAAGGATATGTTGAAAAATTATATAAAGGTATCAAATTGTAATTTTTCTTTTGGAAAAAGGCCCTTGGAACTCATTGAAAATAGTCATGTTTGGTAAAAACTAGTTAATAAGCTATATGACAATATAAAATAACCTAAAATGATACGTTGAAAAAGTAATTGGAAAAGTATAAGAAACATAATTGGAAAATAGAAAAAGCCCCGGAGCTTATTGAAATGCTACTTGAAGTAGTTTTTCAAAAAGCTAGTTTATGGCTAAAAACAAACGGGACTTTTTCAACGAGCTAAAAAAAATAAGCTAGCTTATGTTTGTCATGGCCTAAGAGATTATGCATACCAGTATCCGGGCAAAATGACGATGGCGTCAATGATGATAACACAGATAATTGTTGCAACAATGGAACCCCAGATCGATGCGTGAATGATCCAGGTCCATGTGGTCACATCCATGGCTAAGTGAAGATTGACCAGAAACACGACGGCTAGTGTCCAAAGATCACCTATGCTCGGACCATCGATGTCACTTTTCCAGTATGCTAGTAAGGGAACAAAGAAGGCGACTATACTCTGCCATAAGGTGTCCGCAATTGTAACCCAAAACAGTTTCGAGTTGTAGCTTTCTTGTCGCTGACCAGCTCCATATAGCTGAGGATACTTCAATAAAGACGCTCTACCAAGATCTTTGTCGAGAATGCCGACAACAATCGTGGGTACAGACGTATAGATTATGGAATACAACACGCTGCTCCATTCGTTAATGGCGCTGGACAAAGTGAAAGCGGTAAAGAGCGCGTACCTGAATAGAAACGTGAAAAGATTAGAAAAAGAACCACTTTTTTATCTTCTGTTTTCTGTTCGACGATAAAATCAGAAGGAATAAAGAAAAAAAGAGAACCGCTAGAGTCCCACAAACTTGACCATTTCTTCTCGATACACGTTGGAACCTTTCTTCTCTCCTCAAAGGCTCTTTTGAAGAGTAATTTAATGGGGTTCTACATATTCTCACGTAGTATCAGAACCAAGATTTACTGTTCTAGGGACTTGACACTCATGGGCAAACTGTACCCGTCAAGCCCCCTCACCTGTCTAGCTCTCTTTTGACACTCCCGGACAGTTCGTGCCCGTCTAGCTTTGGGAGGGGGCGAGTTAAAATCCCACATCGGCAAGGTTGGACTTATTCTCCTCGATATTTGTTGAAACCTCCCTTTTCTCCACAAGGTCCACCATTACAAGGACTCAACACTCTGGGTCAATCTTTACTCGTCTAACCTCCATTGGAGGGGGCGTATTAGAGTCCCAGATTGGCTACATTTGGACTTATTATCCTGAATATATGTTGGAACCTTCATTCTCTCCTCAATTACTCTTTTAGAGAGTAATCTAACAGGATTCCACATATTCTCACGGGTATGAGGATTGGAAAAATGGTAACAATCACACTTTCTAATTGGATGCAGAAAAGCTTACCAGAATAACACGAGAACGAACACTGCATTCCGGTAGAAATTGTAGAGTATCATGTAGCCCATCCGCTGGTAATTCCAGTGTCCGTGGACCAACAAAAGAGGAACCAGGAACCGGAACTGAGCCATAGCAAAATCCGATGCCATGACAGCTTGACGACCCTCTTGGCCGCTGATGCCAATTCCAACATCAGCCTTTTGAATCATTGAAACATCATTGGCACCTGTAAAAAAATGGGACTTTCGGGTTTCAAAATTCTACTAAATTCCGTCCTATTCTCTTGAATTCGGTGTTATCATATGGAAGAATGTGTAGAAATTATCTAATGTCAATAGAACAACAGATGGTGCATACCATCCCCGATGGCAAGGGTCAGGTCCTTCGTTCGCTTCTTTATCAGCATGACGATCCCAGCTTTTTGCAACGGAGCCACTCGACAACATAGCACCACAGCACATTTACTGGCCAACTCGAATAGCTGATATAAACAAAACCTCAGAAACGCGGATCATACAAAATAAAACACAAGAAACTTGAAGGTTCACTACCACAAAATCGGATTTATAGGATGTCAAATATGTTTAAGGGGTTGTTTGGTTGGTTTTCTATTAAGTCTTGTATGAATAAAGATGTCTCTGTGCATATAGATTGGAACAAAAAAATTATTTGGGAGGGTTTTTTCATGGAAATGAACACGTTTTTTAACTAGGAGGGACGGGTTTGGAAAAAAAAACTTGATTTTCTGCATAAAGCCCCCCAGAGCAGTAGAGCTTACTGAATAAGTCATTTTCAATACGATTAAGCCAATACCAAACAATCGTGTATAGCTGACTGGATAAGCTGTGAGTCTCATTAAGCTCATTAAGCTGCTAACAAACAGACCTTAAATGTCCTAATAGTCTGTTTTATAAGACTTAAGTTATAGGATCAACATATTATGAGTCTTGTAAAGATTGATAGGACATTTTTTGGTGTCCTATGCTTTTTAGGACACTTTTGTATTGTAGCATCTTTTAGTATTTTCTTCCAGTAAATTACATCGTTCGTCCCTGTGGTTTGTTAAAAATTATGATTTTCAACCCTATGGTTTAGAAATTACGGTTTTCATCCCTATGGTTTGTAATTCATTGCTATTTTCATCCTTATAATTTACAATTTATTGTTGTTTCGGTCCCTGTGGTTTACAATTCTCTATTGTTTTGGTCCCTTGTATAAAAAGGAAGGAATTAGTCCCAGGACGATAATAGCAAAAAATTGCAAGTTGTAAACACGAGAATTGCAATTTCTAAACCACAGGAACAAAAATCGAAATTATTAACAAACCACAAGACAAAAATCGTAATTTACTTGGCACTATACGAAAAATTGTCTTATAAAAATAAGTGGCCTAGGAACGTCTCAAGAAGTGTACTGTGAAAAAAAGCTAATAGGATACTTTATTTCAAAAGTGTAGTATAAAACTTTTGTGGACGCCCAAAAGTATCTTTCTAACTTATTGTAACACTTTTATATAAGACGCACAATTATTTGGCTTTATAAACTTAAATTCAACATTTTCAACATATTTGATGTCCTAATTCGATTTTTCTGTAGTGAAATTTAAAGGTTCAAAAGAGTTTTCACCTGTTCTTCGAGTTCAGAGTCGAGGATATATACAAGGCTCGTTCCATCGATGATCAACGCAAACAAATTCGCATCGTCCCTAGAAGTACCGGTCCGCGGAGCACTAGACGTAATCAATGCATCTTCCAAGCTCTTTCGGCAAGATTCTTTAGAGTTGTTGTTTATAACAATCTTGGTCATCTTGCCCGTTAAGAGCTTCGAAGAGTATCCAATTGAAATCGCGGTTTCTTGCTTATCGCCAGTTAAAACCCACACTTTTATGTTTGCAGTTCTTAGAGACTCGATTGCTTCTGGTACGCCTTGCTGCAATTTATCTTCGATCCCGGAAGCTCCCAATATGCTTAAATTCTTCTCCAAATTGATGGCAACTTTTCGAAGCAAACTCGCCCTACCCATTAAAGCACTGGTTGCAGCCTCATAAGACGAACGCCATTGCCCGAATTCTTGGGAGCTCAATTCCCGCATACCCATAACGAGCGTCCTCAAACCAACAGAAGAATACGAATGAAGATGGGCTTTGGTTGCGGTAACTATATCCAAATTCAATGCTTCATCGATAACATTGAACATGGTCGTATCGGCACCTTTAACAAATACTTTTACTGTGTTATTCGGAAAACCTAATATAACCGACATCCTTTTCCGTTCGCTATCGAACTCATGCATTCCAAGAACATTAAACCTGTGCTGCCATGATCCGAGTTCACCGATTAGAACAGAAGAACATTCACTAATTACGAGAGCTACAGAAACTAAATCGGCTTTGTAAAAGTGTTATAATGAATTAATAGTACGTTTTTAGACATTCTAACAAGTTTTAGGATACTTGTATAATAAGGTATCATGTTAGTTCTTTTATGTGATATTATTTGATAGAACATTTAGTAAACTACAAATTTAGTTCCTGTGGTTTTTGGAAAATAACATTTTTGTCCCTACACTTTTGAAATTACAAGATGGCCATCATGATTTGTAAAAATGTCTGGATTTAATCCCTCCCGACTTTAAAAAAATCCTTTGCATGAGAAGCATTTTAGTTCTTTTATAGATTTTTGTCTTAATAAAAACTTAGAGGGTCCAAAATAATAAAATCGATTTTTATCAGGTAAAAGATAAAAAATCGATAAAATTATGAAAATACCTCTCATTTAACGGAATTTTTAACGGTCGTTAAAACGAGACCAAATCTGAAAGTTTTTATAAACCATGATGGCCATCTTGTAATTTTGAAACTGAAGGAAAGAAGAAGTGTTATTTTCCACAAACCATAGGGACGAAATTTGTAGTTTACACTAGAACATTTTATTTCAAATGTTATCGGAATTAGTGTCGTGAAAAACTTGTTAGGACGTCCAAAAACGTTATATCAATATATTGTAACACTTTTGCATAGGACATACAATTGTCAATGTATTAGCACATTTAGGGGGCGTTTGAGATTGCTTATAAAAAAACAACTTATTGACTTATTCTGATGTGACACCGGTAATAAGCACTTTTGAGTGTTTGGATAAATAACTTATACCGGTATCAAACCGGTAATAAGAAGTTTTTGAAGAAGTTAAACCCTTCTGACTTATAATAAGTTGATAAGTGCTTTTGTTGTAGTGAGAAGTAGAAATGGATTCTAACATACCTTTGTCTGTCTCCATGAATATCAATAACTATGTGCCCAGAAGTTCGTTCAATAAGCATAAAACCGTAAGCAGCGGCAGCATAAACGAGCGCCTGTTCATCTGGGGATTCCCCTTGGTAATCTATCAACTTCTCGACAGGATCGGATGTGTCGACCACAATTGGCACGATCGTGTTGCAAGCAGCCAACGCAAGGAAGAAATCATATATCTGTTTGCCGGTTTTTGTGTCTGCATCGTTTCCAGATCGTGATAAGCGAACTAGCTCCCGATCAACCTGTACCTTCATGAGCGGCCGCAAAACCAGGCCATCCACTGAAAACGAAAACGAGAAGGATGCATAAACATTGGTCAGCTTTCACAACAAACAACTAAGGCAAGGCAAACTAGCTTATAAGCTAATTTTTAACCGAAAAAGTTAACTGTAGCTATTAGCAGATAGACTAGTCATGTTTGGTAAAAACTAGCTATGAGACGATGGCAAATGTAAAATGACCTGAATGGGCAATGTTGAAAAATTAAATAGAAAAATATAAGGGGGATAAATGGAAAAAAAAATACCCGAAGGCTATTATATGTTATTTGTATGAATGAGCATGACAAAGACCAAGAATCTTAATCGATAAGCAATTGGTAACGGCCCTAAACTCTAAAAGATGAGAAAAGTATAAATCTTTTAGCACCTTGAGCAAAGTATCCCCCTTGTTCTTCATAAAAATCTGTCTTCTCCCCACCATAATCTACACCAGCAATGCTTGCATACTGAAACTCCATCTTGTTTTCAGTCAATGTACCCGTTTTATCCGAAAATACGTACTTTATTTGGCCCAAATCTTCGTTCATATTCAAAGCTCGACACTGGAATCTGGAATCCGTCGTTTCATCGTACATATTATCATCTCGAATCATGAAGTAAGCCTGACCAACACGAACGAGCTCCATGGAAATGTACAATGCTATCGGTATCATAATCTGGAAAACGATCACCGACATAAGAAACGTGAAGAATATCTCCATCCCCCATCCGTAATACTTGAAGTTATCTACATCTTCCCCAGAATAATCCTTTCTTCTATAAAATGGCATGATATCAAGCTCATCTCTATGGCGTCTCAGCCAAACACCAGCACAAATAGAGACAACTGTGCATAAACCAACTAGAAAAAGGGATAAAAAGATGATTTCTCTGTTCATTCGGGCCTCGAGAAGGCTTCTTTTCGATTGGGCACCCGAGTTATTGAGCATAACCTTGGTTTCCATTCCGGTATACACCACAACTCCGACTGCCCAACTCGTGTTCTTGAGGACACAGCCGCGAAGAACAATGTTCGATGGGCCGAGTGATACACGTTTCTGATCGATCTCCATGTATGCCAGAAAACCATATATGTTTCGATTAGGCTTCTCGCATTTGATTACCCCATTAATCTTTTCGTTCTCGTGGATTCTTGAAACAGTCTCCTGTTTGGCGTACCGTGTTTTCAGATTAGATTCGCCGTCCAGATTGATGGTCTGAATGTAAGCAACACCGGTTGGATCACTGGTCGAAAGCAGGACGATATCGCAAGGAATGGTTTCATTTGCAGAAAATTTGATGATCTCGCCTACTTGGATATCTTTCGATTTCTTCTGTTCGTAATTACCGTTTACCAAAACGGATGACAATCGGTTGTTTTCGATCCAATCTGAGCGGTGGCGCCTCCAGTCTTCATAAGCATCTTTAATGGCGGTAACTAATAATACCATAGTTAATGGCAAGATGGAAGCAAATCGACCGAAAACTGCAAGCTGGGGAAGCTGGTTGAGAATGGCGATTACAAGGAAATATACATAGGCAACTCTGTGGAATTGCTCAAAAAGGTTTCTGGGCAAGAAGGTTAAAACAGAATACTTGCTTGTTCTAATGGAATTACCAGAAAATTCGACCTTCTCATTCGTCTTTAATGGATCATTTATATAAACCAACCTCGAATCTTCATCACTGATCTCTCTTTGGGACATCGACATGCTAGTAGAACCTCCTCGAGATCCATACCGCACTTCCTTTGATCTCAAATCGACAAACCCAACTTCTTTGATTGAGTTTGCTCTCAAACTGTTCGACGAAATACTTCTGTGGGAAGACGAATTGTGCAAGCTTGGTGGCTCTGATTCTTGTTTCTGGGGTTGAAGATCTAAACTCTTGGTTTCATCTAACTTCATATCGGTTGTATCTCTAAATTCACAACAACTATTTACAGAACGCACTACTACTTGTTTGATCTGTTCTTTAAACCAATTGAAACCCAAGTGACGAACACAAAAAAAGTGGGTTCTGAAGGATGAAAACAACAAAAGCAAGAGCGAGATAGATGGAACCTGAAACAAAGCTTTTGGGGATGCATATATGAAATGAAGAAGGAAGAATTTTCAGAAGTCAAGAAAAGACAAAGCAGACGACGGCTATGGGTGGCAGAATTGTCTGGAATTTGAAAGTAAATTAGGGGTTCTGGAAGGGGGAAAGAAGTCGTCATGGGAGATTTGGAGTAGGAGTTGTTGAAGAAGAGGGTTTGAAACGTTAAATTAATGATAGGTGGGATCATGAAAGGGAAGAAGACAGATGCACCAATGATTTGCAGGCGTTCCAAATTGACTTGGAAAATGGAGGAAGAAGCTTCCATTTTGATTCAAAGACGTTGCTTTCAACTTCGCTCCCTGTCGCTTTCCTTTCGTTTACAAGAAACCTACATGTCAATGTTTATCTTATTTGACCAGTGGCGTCTTTTACGCTGACGGAAAAAACCAAGGAAGGAAATAAAAATAATTTTTTTTAATAAAAGATGGTGTTTGATTGGTTTGAACTTGAGTTTTAAAAGTCAAAGTGTTTGAAAGTCTTAAGTTCAAATTCAAAGAGGAATAAAAATCTTTTTATGGTTACGAAGGTTCAAATGCGGTGATTTCGGACTATCTGCAAAGCATGTGGTTGTCCTGTGATTAGTCGGCTCGCATAGCAGGTTGGATATCCAGGTTAATCAAAAAAAAATTATTTGTGTTCTTTAAGAAAAAAGAAGTTATGATGAAAAACACAAGAAAATATCTAAAATTTTTATCACTTTTAATCTCATGTTATCCATGAAATGCGTTTTAAAAGGAAATTGATCGATGCATCTCGCAACACCTCATTAATGTTGACATTCAATTAGGATTGATCCAAATATAAAAATCTCTTCTTACGCTTCTCATCTTAATTTTTCTTATAATCGGAACCAACATATATATATATATATATATATATAGAGAGAGAGAGAGAGAGAGAGAGAAAGAGAGATGTGGGTTATTGTACAACCTCTTACATTTGTACAACCAATACAACTCAATCTCAATCATCCATTTAATTTGATGAATATATAATTTCATATAAGTTTTGATTGTTTCTTAATATAAAGTATTGATCATAATTAATAAATCTTATTCATCTTTCATAAATATTTAAATTATAATAAATGAAATCTCATCATTTCCATAAATATTTCAATTTATTGGGTTGTATTAGTTGTACAAATGTGATAGATTACATTTGAAACGAACTCTATATATATAGGGTATATTTCAAATGCAACCATGTTTATTTGTACAACCAATGCAATTCAATTAATTGGGATATTTATAAAAATGATGAGAATTCATTTATTATGATTTGAATAGTTATGAAAGATGCCTAGAATTCATTAACTGTAATCAATACTTTATATTATGAAACAATCAAAACTTTTATGAAATCACATATTCATCAAATTAAATGGACGGTTGAGATTGAATTGTATTGGTTATACAAATACAAATGAAACTTATCATTATTTTTTCACGTTTCTTTTCCTTTCTCTACCAAAAAAGTTTCTATTTTTTTTACTTTTCTTCTCATTCCTTTCCTTTCCTTCGTAAAAATGGTTTCCATAATGCAATGTTAAGGGGTGTTTTGGATTATTTATTTGAAATAACTTATATTTTTCTACAAAAAACTTTATCTACTTATTATAAGTTAGAATGGTTTAACTTTTTCAAAAACTTCTTATTACCGGTTTGACACCGGTATAAGTTATTTATCCAAACACCCAAAAGTGCTTATTATTAGTCTCACACCGAAATAAGTCAATAAGTTGTTTTTATAAGTAATCCCAAACACCCCATTATACTCTCTCCTAAACAGTGAAAATACAAACAATTTAAAAAAAAAGTATGATTATTACACTTTTTATTAATAAAAAGTATAATTTTACCTCTAATTATAGATTGAGAAATTTTCTCCATCTCATAATTAAGGGTAAAATGGGAAAATAAATATTTACTTTTGAAGGTAAATACTTATTACATGACAAACTAATATATTAATCATTCTGTTTCAAAATAAATATTCACAATGAAAATAACAGACAATATTAGAAATGTGTAATTTATTACTCTTTTAAGTAACTAAATGACAATTTTACCCTTAATAATAGACAGATAAATTTTCACCATCACATAATTAATGGTAGAATAAAAAAAACACACATTTAAATTTGGAAGTGGACGATTATTTTGTAACAATCTAAAATAGAAATATAGACACTTATTTTGAGACAAATGGAGTACATTTATTTTTAAGTATAAAGTACATCTAAATGCAATGAGGTTTGGTTTATTTTAAGTTAATTGTGTGTGTGTTTTTGATTAACCTGTATATCCAACCCGCTATGCGAGCCGACTAATCTCAGGGCGACCACATGCTTTGCAGATAGCCCGGAGTCACCGCATTTGAACCTCCGTGGCCACAAGGGGGTTTTTATTCATCCTTGCATTTGAATCTGAGACCTCCTAGTACTTTTGACCATTGAAGTCAAGCTCAAACCAATCAGACACCACTCTTGTGGTTAGTTAATTGTGTGTTTTATAAACTAGTGGTGTACCGTGTGTTTATATGATATTATATTTTTATTTATAAAGTACATGAATAAAAGATAAAGAATAACCAAACAGAAGGAACCAACAGATTAGAGAAAGGTGGAGAAAAGACGATAAGGTGACAAATAGTAGTCGGCTTTTTGAGGGAAAAAAAATATTATTATATAAATTAAAATTGATAGAGTCGTTTAACTGAAGAAACAACGAACTGTTGACTATCGTACCTATGGATTAATAAATTAATTTGGTTTGTGTCTGTCATTAAGTAGCTTATGGATCGATTAGTATTAATTGAACGAGTCTTTACTAAAATGATGCTTGATGTATGAACCGAATCTATGTACGTAAATTAACGGCTTAATGACCGAAAATGCGATAAATTTTTTAATTTAACATAATAAAAAGACAAAATATGTAAGTTTACTCAAAAGTATGTTATTGTTTTAATATATATGTTGTGTCTATATATATATATATACTATATTATAAAGTATTTGATAAAAACTCTTAAAAATTATTTTTTTTTTGTATAAAATATTGTTTATTAATGCATGTTACTTAAAATTCAAGATTACAAGTAAATTGTACGTAAATACAACTTATTAAAATTTCATATCTGAATTTGTATAACTAACTGCAGATAAACATAATCAAATACAGGATAAACATCTCACTTTTAAGTATAAAAAATCTAAAATATAACTAGGATAATCATTTGAGTTCTAACATAATATATAATTTTTTTTTTTATAAAATGTTATATTATTAAACCAAAAAATAAATTATTTCATTATTAGAGTTAAAATTAAAATATAATAAAAATAAATAAATTAAAGAAATTACATAAAAAATAAAACTTTTAAATAGTTGATTTGATATGATATATTTTTTTCAATTTTTTATGATATCTTCAAATTTATATTTTATTCAAAAATAAAATTATTATTGCTTTCTTAAAAACACAAAAAATCGTATTATAACATCAACGGAGACAAAAAATAAAATAGAACATTAAAATCGATATATGTCTCGTTGTATTGCGTGAGTACTCTTCTAGTATATATGTGTGTGTGTGTGTATATATATATATATATATAGGAGCGATCAAATGAAAACCACTTCAATTTGTAAAAACCGTAAAAACTACTCTCATCCGTATTAATCTTATGAAATTTTTTCATGAAATTGTTTAATCTTATGAAATTGTTTCATATAATATTTTTTTTTTGATGAAGTTGTTTCATATATGATTATAAAATTGTTTCATATACTACTTAATGAAATTTTAATAAAACTGTTTCATTAAAATTTCATTAAAATTAAAATAATGAAGATGATAATATCCATGATTAACATCATCCACAATAAAAATGATTAATCAACCTCTCATAATTACAAAAAAAAAATGAACAAAATGAAAAATTATGATTGGTGGAATGAGGTTTTTAAGGTTTTTACAAATTGAGTGGTTTTTATTTGATCGCTCCCCTATATATATATATATGGTTGGGTTCACGTGAGACCCGTAAGACCAATTTATGTTCATTGATCAACTTTATAAACTAATGATCTAATGGTCTAAAGTTGCACGACGGCGATTTTGTGATTATTGAGAAGTCTCGTGGCAATTTTGTGATTATAAATATTCAGATTGTAGATTTAATCCAAAGGTTGAGAATTAGTCTTACGGGTCTCACGAAAAACTCTTAGTCTCACAAGATCCCAAGTCTCTCTCTCTCTCTCTCTCTCTCTCTCTATATATATATATATATATATATAGGGTTAGGTTCACGTAAGACCATTTTTTTACACTTGAAATTTCACAACAAAACATTGTGAATGTAAAAAAAATTGAACATTCACAAAAAAAACAACTCTGAAAGTTATTTAAATATTGTTTGATCACCAATTATATTACTATTGTTATTTCGTGCTATTTTTCTATTTAGATGGGTATTTGTATAATCCTATGTTGTTTTTAATTGTAGTATTAAGTTATGTTTGTGTTCTAATTGTTTTTAAAATGCATTAGATATATACAATTAAAAATTAATATAAAAAGTTGAAGACTAATAAATATACTTTGAACTTTGTTTCATTACGAGGTCGATCCCGCTATTACTCAACGGGCCATTAGAGACTAGCTTGACGGCAAAAGGCATTTCTGGGTCTAATAGAATTTATAGGTATAAGAAGAAGCCTTATCAAATAGAAATTCTCTATTTTCAAATTGTAGATATTTCTCAGAAACGGTCTTTTGCTTGATGAGAACGAGATGGACA